TAGTATTTTTATTATTATTATATAATGTTTTTAAGCCTGTGTGCATATGTATAATAATAATATTTTATATGGTTTCTGATTCTGCACATGGCCCTGTGATTCTTGGATGAAGGGAGAGTTAGAATTAAAATACTAATGATAGATAATAATATAATATGGCACAGTACAGAGGCTGGGAAGCAGCCTTACAGTCTCAATAACACAGTCATCATTCTCCTGCTGCGTGATAGAAGAGAATATCTATTCATGAGACCAAAGAGATGTGGACCCACCTGGAGGGGAAATCTAGCAGGGAGCATCAAGTAAGCTGCTCTGAACTTTTAAAAGCAAATATTAGGTAAGAGCATCATAAATAAGGTTTGGGAAATATTTTAAAATAAATGCAAATAATTATTGGTAAACCACATTTTGAAGAAAAGCCGGCATTTCCTGCAAGGCTTTCATATGGTTGGACCAACCTCATTTTTAATGACTTTTTGTTTTAAAGGCCTGCTGGTTCATTCACTTACTAGATTAACGCTTTTGACAATTTTGAACCAGTCAGCAGATTGCTGACCACAACCAAATACACACACACACATCCTGTATGTTTTTCTTGCAGTTATGAACAACGCATCGAAAACTAGGGGCACCTTTGACCACTGCAGTAGCAGAGAAGAGAATTTGATCATTTATTTTATTTAACACATTAATATACTGCTTAATGATAAAAACAATCCACAGAAAATGGGACTATAAAACAACAATTTATCAAAATCACAAGCACAATCGTAAAAGACGTGCTTGTTCGAGGTTGTTTCACACATTATGTTTTTAAGGTGCACCTGCAAAGTTTAAGTGTGTGTCAGAGAGAGAACACACACATTTTCAATGCTTTGTAAAAAGTATGTGCATGAGGGACCTAGGATTGCTTGTGACTCCTTGCGACACATACACTAATGTGTCTGCAACTGCACAATGTGCAAAGGAGGTTTTTAAGCAGTGTTTGGATGGCCCTCTATCACGGATTCTTTAGCTGTGATTCTTGCATTGTGGGGGTTGGACTGGATGACCTTGGGGTTTCTTCCAACTCTAAAAGTCTATGAAAGCTGCCCGTAAACAACTGCTTCTATGGGAACCCTCCATTCCTGGTCCCAATCCTGCACTGGTTGCTGTGTACGTAGTTGCACAGGACCCAGCGCTCACCCTCCACCTCACAATGCTGAAGATTACTACTGGATCTTCCCTCTTCAATGTAACTCCAAATGTTTGCTGGTCAAATACAAGCCCTGCTCCTGAAGGATCCAGCGGGCCACCCAGCAGTTGGGGAAAAACAAAACAGTGGCGCTTTACCACACACACAGCTCTGCAGTAAAACTGAAAGAAAAACACAGAAGACAACAAATTGTGCAGCCGCATGCATGTGCCCACTAGCCACACGGTTATATGCAAGGCTTCACTTCATAAACTTTTCACCTAGTTTGGTCCTCAAGCGTGAGGAGCCTGTGCACCACAAGGCAAACAATGGAATTGTTTTTAAAAAGATGCAGCGTTTAACTTTCTCTCATCTTGTACTACTGCCATTATTATACAACCTAGCCAGGTTATTTCAGAGAACAAGCATTAGCACCTCATTTGTAGCTCAGGTTCCACATCCACCTGAGTAATAATGGAGGTATCAGGGAAGGCAGCTGAAACCCAGGTTGAGGGGCTGATTCAGTCTCTGTTCCCCTCATCCTTGGTCTGCGTGAACTATCAATTTGTCAACCTCAGGTCTGCTCATGGGCAGAAAGAACTTGGCAAGATAAGCCTGGGCTTCTGCCAGCTAGTGGCAAAATAGTACCAAAGGACGATGACCTAACTAGCAAAATCTGAAAAGAGCACAAGGGAAGAGAAGTCACCCTCCCTACAAAAACAACCCTGTCCCAAGCTCCAAGGCTGTTTCAAAAAAAGCTGATTCTGTAACATGTTTACAAAATGCAGTGACCATGAAAAATAACATTGCCCGAGCCAGTGCTTTCCTTTCTTTTTATCAGCTCTAATGATTTTGCAATATTAATGATTATGTGCTTTTTATGCTGTTTTCTATTAATGGAAGAAATGTACCAGCTCTGAGCAACATGGGACACTGGCGAGAAGACAGGCAAATATGGGGGGGGGGGAGGGAGAGAGAAACAAACACCCCCAAAGAGCGCCCGAGGCACAGACTATTACTGTGATATTGCAAAAGTAGCACATTAATGGGCTTGATTTAATTTGACGATATAATCCACAAAAGCCTTTCATAAAAGAGGAGAGAGAAGAGAGAACTAGATTCCTCCTCCCCCCCCCAACTAAACAGGAACTGCGAGACGAATAATAAAAGCCATGCTTAATTGAAATGAAGAAAAAAGAAGTTTGGATTGGCAAAGGGGCTGCTGTGTAAAATAAATGTCTTTAAATACATGAAATGCACTGAGGGATTAATAACAAGTGCTGCTCTTTTATCCAGCACCATGAATGGTTTCGCTTTCTCTGTTGCAGCATGTACACAACAGAGGACTGGCTTCAGTGATGCATTGGCCTTTTGTAACAAGACACAAAGCTATTATTTCATCCTGTTCCTAGAATACTTGATGTCCAAGGAAGCAAGAGGTGGAAGGCTTGCATTTGTCTTACAAAGGGACTTAAGAATCGGCTCCTTTCTTCTGCAGCACCTTTGATTAGATCTGCAAATAAAGGGACAGGAGCAAGTAACTGTGTGTGTGTGTGTGTGTACACACTAAACTTTACAGGGTGAGCAAAGCAAAATATTTCTCCTGGAATAGTGTTCAAACCAATAAAGCTTTGCTGTAAGACAGGGTTGTGGAACCCGTGGTCCTCCAGATGTTGCTCACATCTCCGACCACTGATTGACTGTGCTGGGGGGGGCAAACCGGAGTGCAAGAACATCTGGTCTCAAGTTCCCTATCTCTCTTATAGGAAATAAACATCTATCTAGGTTTTTGCCAACGGCCCCACAATATGTCCTGCTGGATCACGCCGAAGGCCCATTTAGTCTGACACTCTGTTCTCACCACAGCCAACCAGATGCCCCAAAATGAAGCTCACAAGCAGGAGCTTAAGTGCAACAGCACTCTCCCCACTTGCAACTAGAACTGGTCTTTGTGGGCATACTGCCTCCGACAGTGGTGGCAGAACACAGCCATCACTCCTGGCAGTCACTGATGGTCTTGCTGCCCATGAATTTGTCCGTGTCTCTTCCAAAGCCATTCAAGTTGGCTGCCATCACTAACCTCTTGTGGAAGCTGAATGTTGGGAAGATTCAGGACAGACGAAAGGAAGCATTTCTTTTAGCACAGAGCTAAAACAAAGGACAGATAGCTTTCTGAAAGTTCAGATCAGTGTAATGTCTCTCTCTTCCTCAGGGATGTACTTCACATGGAGATGGTTAGCCCATGTCTGGGCTGTACACTTCAGGTGGTTGGTTCCCGCAACTGAACTCTAAGCAAAAAAAAGGGGGGGTTGCAGAGGGGAGGGGATCTATGCATTAACTAAACAAAAAAGGGATCTCAGGGAGAAGAGTTCTAGCTCCACCTGCATGTAAGTTTCCTGTGTGCTGAACTGCACTGGCTATTCAGTAGGAGAGCATGCCATCATTTGAGCCTTCCAGTCTAACAGACCAGCCTATTTTTTGTCAAAGAGATGAAATGATGTCAGGCACCACCCAACAGGGTGTTTTTGTGTGAAGCTCCATTGCAGTGAACGGGATCAGCTCTTCCCCTTAGTTTCAGAGGGGACATCCCCCTTTGGACTGTGCCCTTTAATGTTAAAAAAATCCCATATCTTTTCAGCCTAATGCAGAGGCTACCAGACACGCTCTGAAGTGGCTTCCCCATGGCATTTTTATTTTTTTATCTATCTATGATGAGCTGCTCTCTCACTTAGAACAGGAGTATCTATTTTCATCTGAGCAGCACTGAGGAGAGAGAGCATGTAGAGACAATGAGAATGGAAGTCAAAGGTTCGCTGTTTTACGCTGTCACTAGACCAGAGCGGACAGACGTCTCTGAATGAGCTCTTGCAAGCCTTGTATTATGACTGCCTATTTGAAGAGCAGGAAGAGCAGTGGTTCTGAAAACAGACCTTCCCAGAAATATGCCTGCATTCAGAATAAAGCCTCTATAATTCAGGAAAGACAAAACAAATTCAAACCCAAGCCTATCAGTATTTGACTACATCCATGTCTTCTCCTGAAAAACCACTGTTTCCAACTGCTTTCTACAGTTAGAACTGGAAACCAGAAAACCCCTCTCTCCCACAAGGAACTGTTTAGGTAAAGAAGAAAACTACCTGTTTTCACATCTGAAAGGGGCTAAAACCCTAAACCATTCAAAAGTTCAACCTCATCTACAACCTAAGTTTCAAAACCAACAATCCACATTACTTTCACTTAAACCAGTAGTTTCCAGTTGCTTTAGTCTAGGGAATTCACTTCTTAACTCTTGCCTGCAATTTGGAACTCTGTTTTAAATAATGGAGATGTCCCTTTTTCTCCTTCTCTTACTCTCTCTGTTTTTCACAGGCTGATCTGCGGCACACTGGATCAGCAGGCATTCTTTCCCCTCAAGTGACCCCAGCGAAGGACCACAGCTCAGTGGTATAGCACATGCGTTAAACGCAGGCTCAGTCCCCGAAGGCTCCAGCTGCAAGGACAATGTAGCAGCAGGTGATGGAAAGACATTTCCTCCAGATAAGGGAGAGCTGCTGCTAGAAAGAGCAGACAATCCTGGGCTAGATGGACAAATAGCCTGAGCTTTCCTATGTTTCCATAAATTTTAGTTCAGGGGAGGGTGGTAAGAGATTGACGGGAGATTCGGGGAATGGTTGTAGCTCAGTAGTACGGCATCATCTGCCTTGCATGCAAAAGATCCCAAGTTCAATCCCCAGCATCTCCAGGTGGGGCTGGGAGTACCCCCTGTCTGAAACCCTGAAAGGCTGCTGCCGGTCAGTGTAGACTATACTAAGCTATATGGAGCAATGATTTGACTCACTGGAAGATGAGCCTGGTTAGAGTGTGGTGCTGATAACACCAAGGTTGTAGGTTCGATCCCCGTATGAGCCAGCTGCCTACTCCTGCATTGCAGGGGGTTGGACTAGATGATCCTCAGGGTCCCTGTGCAATACGAAGCTCCATCCTTAGCCTCTCAGAAGATGGCTATACCCGACATGGGAAGCTGCCATAATACAGTCAGCCCACTGGTGCATCTAGCTCAGTACTGTCAACAATGACTAGCAGTGGCACTCCAGGGTTTGGGGCAAGGCATCTTTCCCAGTTCTACCTGGAGGTGCTGGGTATTGAACCTGGGACCTTCTGCATGCAAGGCAGATGATATACCTTCCCCTATTTTTCTCCCATAAAATGTCATCCACCTGGGCAACCAAGGAAGTTTTAGTGCCATCGCCTATATACCTGAAGGAGCGGCTCCACCCCCATCGTTCAGCCCAGACACTGAGATCCAGCGCCAAGGGCCTTCTGGTGGTTCCCTCATTGCGAGAAGTGAGGTTACAGGGAACCAGACAGAGGGCCTTCTCGGTAGTGGCGCCCACCCTGTGGAACACCCTCCCATCAGATGTGAAGGAAATAAGCAGCTATCCTATCTTTAAAAGACATCTGAAGGCAGCCTTGTTCAGGGAAGTTTTTAATGTTTAATGCTGTACTGTTTTTAACATTTGATCGGGAGCCGCCCAGAGTGGCTGGGGAGACTCAGCCAGATGGGCGGGGTATAAATTTTTTTTTTTAAATGGCCAGGACTGACGCCAGACTAGAAGGAATCCAAGTAATCAGTTTCCTCCGAGCATGTCTGAAACTGGACTGCTGCCACCTTCTCAAGCCCCTTGCCCCAAAAGAATGATAGCATTTTTTAAACATCTCAGGGGGCAGAGAGGTTGCCTTAAGGAGGGGACACACTACTGCAACCCCAAGAACTCCCTCCTGGGTAGTCACAACCAGCAGTCTCAACTTCAATGACTTTAGGAAGCTAGAATATTTTTGTACATCAGTTGAAAAGCTTGTGCAACATTATTTATAATTCAGAGTAGAGACAGTCCATTAAAAGACCAGCAATTCTGTGTGTACCTCAACATCGGAAGGAGCTGCATTTAGTTGCAAGCAGAAGGCTAGAGGCTGCAACAAGCTATCTTGCCTTGGAAAAAAAAGACTTTGAACTATTCCTCAACTTGGATGATGCTGGAGGATGTTGAATTACCAAAGATATCGTGGCAATTTCATACAAAGGCAAGCAGAGAGCTGGAACAATGCTTCACTTTGTTCAGCATGCTGGCAGGGTGAGATCCCTAGTGGAAAAGGGCTGCCCCGGAAAAAGATCAAACGTGTAAAATTCAGTCAGGTGGAAGCAGTGAAGCAACTAGGAAAAGAACCTTTAAAAGCTTTGGTCAGATGCACACCAGAGAAGACACCAGGGAGGTGTAAAGGAGGAAGGCAATTTTGAGATGGCAGGAATGCTGTCTAAGGCCAGACCAGAATGGCATCCTAGAACTAGTTTATTCCAGTTTCTCAGAATCACTTGTAAGGGTTATGATCACCAGCCCAGATCTTAAAGGCTTTGAAGGGGGGGTTGACCACACACACCCCTTAAGCAACATCAGGAATCCCATTTTTGGGATTAAAGTGTGAAAATGATCACTGGGAGTTTGCTGCTTTCCCTTCCCATGAGTTGGTAATCTTGAGCCAGGAGACTGGCAGAATCACTGCCTATGGCCTATAAAGCAAGAAATTAATTTGAGGTATTAATGTTGGATTGGGGCTATTGCAAAATTTATCCTGATGGAAAATGCATCGTTCATTATGGACCGATATGGCCACCTGTTCCAAAATGCTGCGTGTCAGAATGATGGCAACAAAGAAGAAAATGTTGAGTTCCTTAAGCACCAGCTACCTAATCTGCCATAAGAACCGATGAGAGAGGAAGCTGCACCCTCAGAGGACACTGCCCTTTCTCCTGACTGCCCTGTATGCTTGAAACTGCCTCCCCAAACACTTGTGTAATGCCTCCTCCTTACTTACTTTAAAATCCCTCCTCAAAATCCACCTTTTTTATGAAGCTGCTGGCACAACCCCTAATTCCCATGCCCCACTGTAACTGAGCCGAAACACGTGCAACCCAACCAGTTGCAAATTGCATCCCTGTTTTACCACCCTGTTTTCTCTGCATCAGATTTTAGACTGTAAATTCCTTGTAGCAGGGGCCTGTTCTCTTCTACTCTGCATTACATTATGCACCCTGACGGCACTACAACACATCATGCACCCCAACAGCACTATAGCAACATCACACCTGTTCTCTCTCCACCCCCCTCCCTGCAAAACCAGGCTAATACCCATGCCATCCTTGTTGCCTTTTCAGAGAAACTGGACAGGGCATAAAGAGAAATGGGAAAAGCAGAAAACTATTAAAATACAGAAGTTTGACTGGAACTTTAGAACAATCCTGCTGCCTACCTAGAAGAAAGGGCTGGTTTGAGGGCAGAGGGGACTTTCCGTCGATCCGTTAGAGAATCCGTCAGAGAATGACCCTGCCTTACCCTGGGAGAAGGTGTTATCTTGGAAGTGAAAGACTGTCACCTATAGAAGAAGCTAAATCCAAGGGAAGCTTTTGCAAAAGGCATGCAAGACAAGCTAACTTTATACAGCAACGTCAGAAAGAGAGAGAGAAAAAGTTAAAATACTCTGCCTGCAGAAACGGTCACAAAACTGTGGAAGCCTTGAGGATGACACAAGGCTTCCATTTGTTCTCTTCAGCCGCAAGAGGAACTGCCCACCATAGAAGCAATTTCAGATAACAGCAGAAGCAATCTTTGCCCACTCCTCATGTCCGAGAACTGGTACCACGCAGTTCTAAGGCCAGTGTTGATTTATTCCATTCGTTCACAGAGAAGAATAGGCACATGGAATGAGTGCAACAAGGCAGCTTTGTTCAGTTTTCAACCCACCCATAAACCTTATCATTATCACTCCTCTCTGCTCCATCTCTCCAGCGTGTTGCCTGTGAGAGGTGCTGAATGGACAGCTCTTGAGGCAGAACAATGGCAAAAAAAGCAAAAGCAAAAGGCACAGGAAGACTTAGAATCACAGAATTTGGATAGCTGGAAGGGACCACAAGGGTCATCTAGTCCAACCCCCTGCAATGCAGAAATATTCTCTCCAACATGGGTATCAAACCCAGGATCTTGAGATTGAGATTCTCATGCTCTACCGACTGAGCTAGCTTGAAGAAAACCAAGTCCATGGGTTGAAAACGACATGGAGCCTGGAAGGCAATTCAACCGCAGGCAGACCTTCAAGAGAACCAGTACGGGTACTTTAACAATGGATTATGTGACCACTGGAGAAATGTCACCCAAGGAAACTGATGGGCAAGTAATCCAGGTCAAACAAAATGGAGGCACTTCCTTCACACACAAGCATAATCAATTTATGGAATTCAGTTGATTATGCTTTTGTGTGAAGGAAGCAGAGATGCTGGTTCTCTTGAAGGAGGTGTCTTTTCTCTGTTGAGAGAGATGCAGAGATACAGTTGTGGCCACTAGCTGAGACACCATGGAGGTGGTTGGATCTATCAACGGTTTGGAGGCATGAGATGAAATGGAATATCCATGCCACAGAGCACCAGCTGCTGAGTAACAAGAATGGGAGAAGTCTATTGCCTACAGCCCTTTGGTTGGGTTTTTGGGAGACATCTGATGGCCACTATGGGAAACAAGATGCTGCACTAGTTGGACCCAGCTTGGTCTGATCCAAGGGCTTTTGGGGTTGTGCCCAATGTAGGGCTAAATTAAAGTCACTTTGTGACTGGCAAAATGTTCTGTGTCAGTGGAAAATTGTTGGATAAGCAAATGCATAAGGAGGTTGCTGGTACTTTGTTACACAACAGATTGCAAAATATGTTGTGCAATGACTTTCTGTTAGTGCAACTGTTGTGTTGGATTCCTCTGTTATGCAACATTAAATCTCTCCAACCCGCTAGCTCAAAAATCATTGCACTAGCAGAGAGAGAACGTTGGATACTGATTCTTAACAGCCAGGTAGAGAGTATAACCCTGAACAGTTTCCTAAAAATAAAAGGGTCCCAAGTTAAATGTCCAAATGTCTCCTTCCTTAGTGTCTAATCACACTCTCTAACCATTAACACATCCTGCTTCTCTTTCCCCAATGAAATTCTTCCTGCCATAACACTGGCTCTTGCAAAAATATTCTAAATTCTGCTACACCTCACATAGGCTAGCCGCATGAATGCATTAAAATTGAGCAAGTTTATTATAAACTGGAAATCCTGCACTGAGTTTTAACCACACATAGAATTTTTAGGCATGCGATTCACAAGCCTTGGATTGCATTCAAATACCTGTCTTGACTGCCCTGCAGGAAACAAATCCTGGACTGGAGCAGCTAATAAGCCGCTTTCACTTCTCATTTCTTTCCTGTGAGCCCGGGCCTCTCTCCTGAGATTGACCTAGAAAGGTATCCGTTAGGGCCAATTGTGGTGATGGTTCAGCGACAAGGAACACATCACCCAAGGCTCATTAGGAAGTACAATGTGTGTTCAGTTGCCTATTTGGGGAATACTTTGGAAGGCACACGTCAACCCACACAGCCATGGACACTAACAAGTTTAAGTAAGGCTGTCATGTAATCAAGCCACAAAAGCACTAAGTAATCACAGACGTGGGGAGGGGAGGTGCTCCAAGATCCCACCCTTCAATTCACGTTTGCACTGATTGGTACAGACAATATAATTTGAACATGACAAAGAAAGCGCAGGAGGAATAGGAAAGCTCACAACAGAGTTGGAGATCTGCCTGCGTTCTGGGTGCAAAGGCTGGCATGCGCTATAGCAAGGGCAAGTGCTAACCTAGCCCAGACACGCATTCTGCACACCAGGTGAACAGCTGTAACTACCTGTGAGCCACCTGTCCTTCGGAAATGAGTTCAGGATTGTTCCACCCTTACCTCAAAAATTTTCAGATACCTCCCTCCCAGCATGCCATCCCTTTGCTCCTGGTGCTCAGGAATGCACAATCAAAAAAGCAGCTAGTGTCAAATGA